AAGAAGAAGAAGAAGAAGAAGAAGAGAGAAAAACGACTCTAAACAGGCTAAATTGCGAAAAATCCCGCCGAGAAAGTAGCCCGCGAATAATAATCCCGGGCGTCCGCAACACAGCCTAGTCATCCGCCATCCACAGGTATCCGCGCTTACAGACACTCCAAAAGCGCGAGATGTATCTTACAGACCGACTAGCAACAAAAACAAAATTGTTGCAGGGATGAATCGATAGATAAAAGGTACTACAATCTAAAAAAATATGTACGATCATGAAGGCAAATACATTTAAAAAATAAGATTCAAGTTAAAAGTCATCTACTTAGCAAAAAATTCAAGACTTATCAGTAGCATTTTACACTCAGCTGGGAAAAATCAATATCATCACACAAAAGTAATAGACCGGCAATGCTGCTAGACCAATGCGCGCCTGTAAATATACGCGTCTTCTTGTCCAGCATTCTAACAAAAAAAAGCAACTGCGATTGTTAATTATAATTTGCAAAAGCTTGCAATAACCTTGCTGGATTTTTATTCAGGCCTAAGTGTGAGGAAAAACGCAGCAAAGTGAAATTCAGCGCTTGTGTCAAACCAACAGTCGCGAGCGAACCGGACATAGTTCACGAGAGGCTATCTTTAAAACAAGGAACGGGGAATCAGGTAAAATGAAATGGGGGTGGGAATGGGGAACGGGGAACGTGGAACGGGGAATCTTTAAAATGGGGAATCTTTGAAACGGGGAATCTTTAAAATGGGGAATCTTTAAAAGCGGGAATCTTTAAAACAGGGAATCTTTAAAACGGGGAATCTTTAAAAGCGGGAATATTTAAAATGAGGAATCTTTAAAAGCGGGAATCTTTGAAATGGGGAATCTTTAGAATGGGGAATCTTTAAAAGCGGGAATCTTTAAAAGCGGGAATCTTTAAAACGGGGAATCTTTAAAACGGGGAATCTTTAAAATGGGGAATCTTTAAAAGCGGGAATCTTTAAAACAGGGAATCTTTAAAACGGGGAATCTTTAAAAGCGGGAATATTTAAAAGCGGGAATCTTTAAAAGCGGGAATCTTTAAAACGGGGAATCTTTAAAATGGGGAATCTTTAAAAGCGGGAATCTTTAAAAGCGGGAATCTTTAAAACCGGGAATCTTTAAAAGCGGGAATCTTTAAAACAGGGAATCTTTAAAAGCGGGAATCATTAAAACGGGGGATCTTTAACAGCGGGAATCTTTAAAACAGGGAATCTTTAAAAGCAGGAATCTTTAAAACAGGGAATCTTTAAAATGGGAAATCTTTAATAGCGGGAATCTTTAAAAGCGGGAATCTTTAATAGCGGAAATCTTTAATAGCGGGAATCTTTAAAAGCGGGAATCTTTAAAACGGGGAATCTTTAAAAGCGGAAATCTTTAAAACGGGGAATCTTTAAAAGCGGGAATCTTTAAAACGGGGAATCTTTAAAATGGGGAATCTTAAAAAGCGGGAATCTTTAAATATTTAGAACAAAAGGACACTGTTTGTTAAGTTGGACTAATGTCAGCTTTATTAATCATTCGAAGCCAAATATTCCAGCTATTCACTTTTAGCACATTTGCTTGAATTCAAGTAAACCCATTTTATGAAGGATTTTTACCCCGAGGAATTTTAAAACCACGACCACATGAAGCATGAAGGTAAGTGAATTACAAATTTGAAACAACGACGACATAAATATTATTTCAAATATCATCTATGACATGTAAACAATATAACATGTATGTAATAATGAAGTACCGTAATATATGTTTCGGGCGACCTTCAATAACATCACAGTAACAGTAACAACAGCAATACAATGTAGATGTTGTTTTCCTTGCTCTGCATTAAATTGTCCCAAAGATAAATCCGCTTTTGAAGATTCCCGCTTTTAAAGATTCCCCATTTTAAAGATTCCCGCTTTTAAAGATTCCCCGTTTTAAAGATTCCCCACTTTAAAGATTCCCTGTTTTAAAGATTCCCCACTTTAAAGATTCCCGCTTTTAAAGATTCCCCGTTTCAAAGATTCCCGCTTTTAAAGATTCCTCATTTTAAATATTCCCGCTTTTAAAGATTCCCCGTTTTAAAGATTCCCTGTTTTAAAGATTCCCGCTTTTAACGATTCCCCGTCTTAAAGATTCCCGCTTTTAAAGATTCCCTATTTTAAAGATTCCCCGTTTTAAAGATTCCCCGTTTTAAAGATTCCCCGTTTTAAAGATTCCCGCTTTTAAAGATTCCCCGTTTTAAAGATCCCCGCTTTTAAACCCCATTTTAAAGATTCAGGCTTTTAAAGATTCCCCGTTTTAAAGATTCCCGCTTTTAAAGATTCCCTGTTTTAAAGATTTCCCGTACCCCGTTCCTTATTTTAAAGATAGCCGTTCACGAGATAAATGGAAAACTAGAGAAATTTAAGAACAGGTACGCCCCCCAAATTTTTTAGGACAATCCTTTGCTTTGTAGCTTTAGTTTACAATTGATATTTTTTTCAGAACAGCCGTTTTGTGGAAATTATTCGATTCTCATAGATTCATTAGATTCTCATAGTGATACAAACACTGTAATTTCTCACACATTTGCCTACTCATCAAGATGGCGTCGAAAACCGTGACAAGGTCTATCCTTCATACAGTGTATTGAAGCCGAACATCTATCCTCACCTTTATAAAAGATGACACACCATATGAAATAAAACTTGATAAAACCAACTTCTGTCGGTACTGGCATTTTACTGGCACTAGACTGCTTGCAGTCCGCCTTTTCTCTAAGCCAGCGCGAAACACGTTGAAAACCACGACGTTGTGTTACAATAAAAGGATTAGGATGTCTTTACTGTGACCCGGAAATGAGTTAATGTACACAATAGAATCGGGACGATTGGATGTAGCGTTACGCACGCACACTGTCGTAAATGCCTTATTCAGTTATAACTTTTCCCAGAGTGAAATGGGAGTTTTTTCGGAAAAATGTTAATGAAATACTTTTTTTTAGCCTGCGTTAGTGGTAAAATGGCTAAGGATATGCCAAACGACAGGTTAAACAGAGCTAAGCATGTCCCGTCGGATGACTGGCAACAACAATTTGCATAGTGTTACGCGACAAAAAATTGACTTGTGATCCCAGTCCCCGGGGGGGGGGGGAGACTCCGTATGATGCGCTAGAAGACATAGATCCTTTTTTTTAAAGTTTTCTATACATTTGTCTGTTTTTCAGTAGAATCCTTAGAGTGAAGCTTTAGTTAACAGTTGATATATATTTTTCAAAACAGCCATTTTACTAGCCTGCGAACAGCAAACGCATTTCCGGAAATTATTCGGCATTAGATCAATCAATCAATCAACAACTTTATTTAAGTGTCTAGTCTTCTAGCTTGCCGTCAGGCCTACTAATCGGGGACACTAAGATTAGATTAGATTCTCATACAAACACTGTAATTTCTCACGGGTTTGCCTACTCGTGAAGATGGCGTCGAAAATCGTGACAAGGTCTATTCCCAGAGGAAAAATGAACGGTTATGTGCTTGCGCTATGCTAGCCTGCGTAGCAAGCGTTTCCAGTCGAGTTATAGAGCTCTTTTTTTTTTGCTCTCGTCCCAACTTTCTCGACGAACTCGCGCGGAAACGCTTGCTATGCAGGCTAGCGATATGCCAAACCGTCTCGCGGTCCCCACCCAACTTCTGCCACACATTGGTGCGCAATACATGAAGTCTTTTATCGTCCAGGCGGGAAAGAGTTCGATCGGATCGGAGCAGGATTGAAGACCTCTCGATATTAAACAATGCCACCAAAAAAGAGCAAGGAGACAAAGGTATGGTGTTTTCTAGTAGTAAACGTGATTTTGATTTCTTAAACTCGTGTTTGTACTTGTCCATAGGCGACGTTCTATGTGGGTAACGATCAATATGTTTCTCGCCATGCATGTGTTCGATTTGCAGAGTTTTCCGGAAAGACAGGTATTAAAAATACGTATCTCGCGGACCAAGCGATCATTGTATTAACAGAAAACAACCTCGTGCTAATGAAAATTGTTTGCAACGCTGTTAAACAATATTTTATTTCACATCAACTGCTTAGTTAATAAGCATTAACTGCTCAGTTAGACGAGCAAGTGAACGCCTCGTCTAGCTTTTGCTATTTACGGGCGGAGATGGCAAAATGA